GGTTACCCTCGATCATGTGATGTATGTTGTTTTAATCGTTTGGCTATATCTGAATGCTTTGCTGGCATCTACGTTTGGGCTCCTGGATATTCACTATCGATCTGCCGGAGGCCTGGTCCCACCATTCATTTTTAACAATTTAGGTATTTGGCGTAGAACACTGCAGCGTTCTTAGTCAACTAAAATGAAATTTTTATTCAAAGTAGGGGTGGTCTTTGTCCTCCTCTTGGCAGTATATACCTTCCCAGTCGTTGCAGTCCGTGGATGCACTGTCATTGCTATTCAGCCCGACCTGCGTTGGAAAAAAGCCATCTGTGATTCAACTACCTCCCTTTTGACATCACTCCCTTTGGATTTGCCGGAGATGCTAATTAATTTGCGCATTACTCAACAGAACATTCGACAGCTAAATGATAATGTCCTGAAAAAGTTAATTTACCTCGAAGAACTCTGCGTGGAATCTAGTGGACTAGAGCAGGTGGATGTGAATGCATTTCGTGGCTTAACGCGGCTTAAAATACTCAGCCTTCGCAACAACTCCCTTCGCATAGATGAAGGCAACCTTCTTTCAGCCACTTTTCACCATCTTCCCTCTCTGGAGATTCTTGATCTGAGCTACAACCCTCTTGGATTTATACCCCCAAACTTCTTCCCAGCATCAGTGGGTAAAACCCTTAAAGAATTACGCCTGGAACACACGAATGGCGACGGTGCACTTAACATAGACGTGTCTGCATTCTTTTTTCTCGAGCAGCTGCGTGTGCTTGATCTCTCTTTTGCTGGTTTCCGCAGTCTCCCCGTGGATTTCAGAAGTGTGTTTGCGAGGATGGAAAATCTGCGTGAACTTCAACTAGGTGGAAATCCCTGGGTATGTGACTGTACCCTGCGTTGGTTGAAGGATTGGTACCTCACCGACGCCCCACCCTCGATGCGTTTTTCTTACACTCGAAAGACCCTTCAGGAAACTCACGTAAATGTTGCGCCAACATGTAGTGAGCCCTATAGCGTTCACGGTAAGCAAATATTTGGCAGCTCTGGACCAAAAACGATAAAGCTGGAGGAATTTCTATGCAAACAGTGGATATCCTCTAAAGTAAAAACTGTAAGCGTTCCGGAACAGTCCAATGTTTCTCTGAAGTGTCACGGTTATTCTGACACACCTGTTAACGTCCAGTGGTTCAAGAATAAAAACATCCTTACAAAACTACCTAGACGTTATTCCCGCTTTCAAATCAACTCACCTGAATTTCAGGCTACTCTACATATTTCCAACGTGGCAAAGGAGGACGCCGGTTTTTGGGAGTGTGCCTTGGGTGAAGATGGTGGCCAACAAAGAGCATCGATAAACTTGACAGTTAAACTGGCCGATGGATCACTAACGAAGGCCGGTTCTGACAGTTCACAGGCAGATTCCTACAAGCAAAATCTCGTGTACGCAGGAATCGGAATTGCTTCTCTATTTATTCTTCTTGCTGCTTTTGTTTTGGCTATTTTCTGTTGTTGGAGTGGTCGCAATGGCAAACCTGCTCGAATGCAAATGTGTGCCTCAAAACTCAGAGGTGGAAACTCCTACCAATTCGGCCTCCAAGGCATTGGTAGTGATACTCGTGAACTGATTGGCAATCGGGCTGCCAACAGTCGATCTGACTCACCCGGTCCCATGCAATCTAAATCTCCCATCCACATAGTGCAAACTGTGAATGACCTTGTAGACAGCACTAATCAGAAGTCTGTCACTTCTCAGGTACATTTTCTCTCTGATATGGGTAGCAAGTCTACCCTACCGGTGGGCGTTGGATCGATGTCAGAAGGGCCATATTATGGTCGGGTGTGTGTTCCTACAATGCTTTCTACAGTTGGACCAACGCCTGGGCACGTCGTTAGTAC